GACTATGCAGTTTTCCAGTCTTGGGCAATGTATGCAAGGCCTTAATCGCATTGTCTAACAGAATATTACAGGAAATGTTTCAGTCTGAAATTCAGCGTCTTTGTAAACCTGACTCAGAGCAGAACAGAAACCCATTGTCCAAAAAAAGATTTAAAATGCAAATATTATTTTATTAGTCTTAGACTCCCTCAAATGAATCTGTTCGTGCAGACAGTAGCAGGCACAGGCAATGTTGTTGCCCTGAGCTTGTGCACAGACATAGGAATCTGCTCTTGCAGTTTAGAGAGAGCCTGGGAGCTTGCCTTGACCGTCTTTGTAAAAGAAAGTTTGGAAACTAGGAATATTGCCAAGGTCAATAAAACCTAACTAGAAGAGAGCCTGAACACCCAACTTGAGCTCCCGTGCTACCCTGATATGCCAGTGAGTGTTTTATGGTCACTCATTTATCAGGTAATTAGCTATGGTTGTTTAAATGTTGCCAAGAATGCAAAGGCAGCTCTCATTACCTAAAAAAGAAGATTACACAATTTTGTTTACATCTGGCGCTCAGGATACTTTTTAGGAGACAATCCATGGGGCAGTTTCTTGCAGAAAAGCCCACCACAATTTGTAGTATTTTCCATTCTTTTTATACTCACTATGCAGTGTACTAACGTTAAACCAGCACATGCAACTCTGTGATATGATAGAAGATCTCAGCTTGTAAAAAGTAGGAATTGGTAACCCAACGCTCTCCATCTCCACTTGGGACAGTGGGTCTGTCTGACCCATCTGCCACCAGAATGCAAATCTGGTAAGCGTCTGACAAGGTGGAAACAGGTTCTTGATATCTGCTCAAAGTGCCACCAAAGGGAGAAGTTTCACTGGAGTCAAATTAAATGAAATCAAATCAAATTGTTTCTCAGCTGGAAGGTAAGGGTCTCTCCTGCTTTTGGTCTGCAGAACAGGATATATAAGTAAGTACAGCACAGGATATATATGTATGGCATAGGCTGGGAAAGATAGAGTAGATAAAATATATTACAAAGACGCTCTGGTTCTGTTTCCTTCACAGAGTCTGTAAGGCTGCTGATGTCATTCCTGCATATAGGAATTCAGAAGTGTAAATCTGAAAGATCAGGTTTGTTTCTTCTTCATATTGCCCCCTCAGCAATGTTGGAAGCCACTGCAGCCATATTTATTTTGGAGAAGACACTGAGCTACAGCTGTAAAACTGACTGTTGTCCAAGGTAGTTGACACAGAGTTATGGATCTGCTGATGTAATGTATCTGCTTTAATTTGCGGGTTTCATATTATCATCTCTGTCATGACATTTTCTTTATCATCTACCACAGCTTGAACTGGCCTGGTAATAACTTCAAAAGGAAAGGTATTGCTTCTGCTGCCCCTGCAGCAGCGCTGTGCACGAAGATGAAAAAAATTAAACATGGGGAAAAAAAAGAAAAAGGATGTGCAAGGGACAGATGACCAGGAGGCCTGCAAGCTTCACAAATTGAGTATGAAAAGCTGTCTGTTAGTGCCATCTTGTGGGCTCAGAGCCACCCCCGTGCCCAAGAGGCAAAGCTCTTCCCAGAGAGGTGCAACCCCACTTCATGCCACCCTGTTTTGAAGCACAGGCACCTTCCATCAGAAGAGAGTGCCAAAGCTGCGGCAGGTATATAAGTGACCTACCTGAGGTCACTTGAGCAAACAAGAACAGCATATTGGGGAGAGGCACCAGCCCAGCACTCTCTCGGGATTCTCTGATCTTGTCTGCCATGTCTGAACAGAGACCAGGCTGCGAAGTCTGATCAGCAAGGAGACTGTCCAAATGTCTGGCTACTCCTGTGCAAGAGGACTTCTGCCATCCCTTCAGAGGCTTGTGTCTCTGAAAGGCTTGTGTCATCATTAAATGCCTGAAGCATTATGAGGCACAGTATTAGTTACACACAGGATTTCAGTATGGGACACCTTGCTCAGACTTGGGGTATCCTTTAATGTCAGGCACTGAGAGTGGGAGCTGGGAAGAGCCCAGCTTCTTTCCCCACTCCTAGGCCCTGTCCCAGACTCTTCTGAGGCAAGATGCAGCCTCTAAGTCAGAGGTGAGTATGAAATATAGGCAAATGGATGGGCAGGAAGACTGTTTTCTGGCCCAATTTTGCTGCTGAGGGTGAGGAGAAAGGAGATAGGAGAGAGAGAGACAAAGGTGAAGTCAGCAATGGCAGCAATGGGCCAGTTCTCAAGAGTTACGTAGATGGGATAAAGCTGCTGTCTTGGTGTCTTGGGAGCTGCCTCTCATGTTTCCTCTGGGTGCTTGGCACCATCGCATCTTGTGTCCAAGCCTGTGCAGATGGAAGGGAGGAGATACAATGCAGTGGCTGAAGGTGGGAGGACAATGATGGAGGGTGACGTGCACAGGACATTGCAATGGGAATCAAAATGCCTTACAAGCACCCACCTCAGTTCTGTTTAGATCTCCACATGTAGCCTTGAATTTCCTACATGGGGTTACGAACACTGAGACCAATTTCCTACATTCGGTCCTGTGTCTTGCGATATGGCTATGAATCTACCATGACTTTATTGAAGCACTGTACATCTTAGAAATGGACATGGTCTTGAGTTAAAGATGTTGAGAAACACTAAGTCCATCAGAAACCTGGGTGTGTTGTTTCAGTGGTTAAACAGTCACACAGTTAAACACAGCTACAACTTATTTCAGACCTCAGTAAGTCTAAGTCTCTGCTTCAGATATTTGATAACCTTGAGCTTTTGCTTATGATTTATCCTGTCTTTCCTACGTTAAAGGGTTGCTAACACTCAAGGATCTTTTCTGAACGTAAGCCCAATATCAGTGCATTGCACAGATAAATATCCTTCCATATAGCCACAGAACTACATTAGGAGCTTCTACAATCTTTCCAGGTAGATTTAATTTGGGGGAGCAGGTGGAGGGGTCTACATTTTTTCAAGGAAATCTCTTTCTAGCACTGTCAGTCTGATGGTTACTCCTCTGGCTGAAATCTGTCTCTTCCTATCCACAGGTATTATGATTCCCTCTTTTCTTCTCTGTCTGAATTACCCGGAGTTCTTCTTACCCCTTATGCTCTTCTCTTTCAGCTCTATACTGCGCTTCCAGCTGCAGCTATAACATCGCACCTGGTTACCAGCTCTATAGGAAGTAAATGCTAACATTTATACCTAAGTTAAAAACGTAACACAGAATCTGAGTAAGGATTTATTTCCTTAACAAGTAGATGAGGCTGAGGCAAGTGAATCTCAACATATTGATAAAGTAAGCATTTTACACAAAGCAGATTCTTAACCCAGTGTATGCTACCAGCCTTGTAAATAACATAAAGTCAGTGTGCAATGGGTGACAGATGCGGAGTAACTAAACTGTGCAGTTTCTTGGCAAATTTATGTACATTACGACATTTGAAATGTTGTATTTACATATGTTCTCACAGTGAAGGCATTCCAACTGAAATTCCTTTGTAAGAGTTAAACATCTACTGCCTTCAGTGCTACAGCAGGATCCAGATTCAGTTCGATAAGACCAGAGGCATTCTTGTGACTATTTTGTAGTAATGTTTACATTTTACAGGACACTACACTAAAAACGGAATATTAACAACACCGTTATGACCTTCTTATTTTGGCAGATATTTACTGACTTAAAATCTGAGTCTGTTTTTAGTGGTATATAACACGCTTCAGATTTCTAAGAGTACACATCTCTCGTCTTATCAAAGTGCTAACTCAAAATCTTGAATTTTGCTTCAGAGTGTGTTGCATTGTGTCTGTTACATAAAATTATATCCCTGTACAAGTAAGCAGGATTTTAGAGCAAGGGGTAACTGTTAAAGTCAGTGAATTTCATCAAACATATCAGGCTACCATTTATATCTCTCTGCAGGAATGAATTTTGTCTTTATTAATATCTGGACCTGCACTCACTTGAAGGAAAATGCAGAACTTGGAGTTGGATGCAGTTGAACTGAAGTATTTTGGCACAACAGACAGCTCATATGATGATACAAGTTGATCAGGCAACAGAAGTATGAGAAAAAGTAGATCTATAGGTATCATCCTGGCATAAGTGGCAAGTACTCTTTTTTTAACCTAAATGTAGTCCTTCTTCCCCATGAAGAGAGTGTAAAATCACTGAGCCTTTCAGCTACATTCTTATGTAGGAAGAGCGCTGGAGAAGTGAAATTGTATTTGTATATATGTTATAACTCCAAAAGAGGTTACAAATAACAAAGCTGTGTTTGTTAGGTGAGTACAGAACTGCTGGATGAAAGTGCAGCTTCTCATATTAGTGGCGGAAGAACTGTAAATAACTTCATGAAAAGCATAATCCTTTACTAACTGTCTCATGGTGTGGTCACTTTCCCAGTGAATATGCTGCCAACAATGAAATGTGCACCTGGCAACCCTAATACCGTGTGTCAGGATCTGTGCTGATATATGTTAATTTAAGTGATTAAGGATTAACAACTTGGCCAACAGGTGCACCTTCATGTAGACTATTGTTCAGCCAGGCATTCGCTCAGAAAAAAGCCTCTTAATAAAGAACATTGATGAAAAAGCAGACAGTAGCTTCATGCAGCTGGCAAATCTCTTCCCTTTCTAATTCACATGGACCCAACTGACACAGTACATGTGCTAAATTCTGATTGGAAATGTTGGGGATATGCATAATACTTCCAATGAGTGTTTTCAGGATGGGATCTTTGGTGCCTACAAACAGACAAAAATCTTGATCCTGATCCTGGATATACCAGCTTCAATTTGAAGTAATTCCTCTGATTAATGTCATGAAGAATAGAATGTCCCCTACAGCTGCTGGCTTTCTTCAATAGTCAATGACTGTTTATAATTAATATCAACTTCATTTTTAAAACCCTCCTCTTCATGTGTATGATATCTTAAAGGAAAAGCTATGTACAGAGGAGAGTTCCTGTGCTGGAAAGTATTACTGGCTAACAAAGGCCTGTTTATGGGAAAGACACGTCTAGCTGTTAGTATGCTCTAATGCATAACCATTGTTATACATGTAATTATTGTAACTGATCCAGTCATCTGCACACTGATATTCTTGATTTGACTGAATGTACGGATGATAAACTGTTTCTTTTCCAAAGAAGTAAGATGGAGCAAGTCTCTGCAAAACAACAGCACTGAACTGGTATGTCAGCTTCCTTCGGATTTTAATGATTTCACCTGTTCTTCCATAGTTCCTCAGTGCTCTGGCCATTTTCTGATATGTCATGATCTTGCGGTTTCCCTTTCTTTCTCCCCATAGCTCTGCAAGTTTCTCCTTGTTTTTGGAGACAAACTGGAAGACCCCATTGGGCTTATCCACCCATTGGATGCAGTTTGCCATAGCTGGATCATACAGAGACTCGTGGAGGTACTCAAACAGTCGAAGTTTTTTTCTACCTATGAAGAAATAAAGTACAAAAGGTGAGAACAGAACTCATACTTGTTTTAAAAAATAAGCAGTTGTCTTTTTCCTGGAAAGGATCTTACAGACAAAAACACAGGTAAACCTAATACCCAGCCAGAAATTAAAAGATCAGTATAAACTATTCAATGGAAGATCAGCAACAGCAAATGGGACAATCATTCTGAAACATACAGATCTGTGGTGACAGAAAGGGATTTGGTCATTAGAGTTTCAAGAGCAGGTTATTTGGCGATCATGACAAATATTTGGTGACATCACCATGTGGTAGATCTCAGAAGCCACTTTCAGCAGTCTTTAGACACATGCTGTGCAGGAGCACAGTCAAGGAACTCACTGCAGGAAATTCCATCCTCAGACAGTGCAGGAAAGAGGTCCCAGAAAACCAATCTGGATGTTTTTGAATAAATGTTTTCCCTGCTTAGTCAAAACACAAAGATTTTGAGATTACTTAATTTTGTCACATTTGTTTCAGGAATGTTTTGGGGATGCAAGATAGTCTCTGATATAAGAAAAGATGAGTGAGTGAGAAGGAAGAGCAAACTAGTTTCAAACCATAAACCTTGCCTCGTCCATAAGGAGCTACACCTTCTGGTGTGCTGTAGTTTTCTAAAAATGTGCAGAAGTGTCAACTTGCATTCCCGTGTAGAATAAAGCAAGCTCAGTACTGCAATATTTGTCAGTTAACTCAGTACTTCTCCCCACAGGCTCAGTTCTCAAACTTAAGTTTACTAGTAAGGCTTATTTAGTTTCACTTAGATCTTGTGGATCCCTCCCTCTGAAGTACTTCTAGTTCCCTTCACAAGGCCAAGGGTGAACAAGAAGTTGCCATAAGGAGGAAGAATTGAAGATTATGAGACAAAGAGGAACATTTTGCAGAAAGGGGAGTGTATGCAGAAGAATGGCTTCCACTTTAACCAATGTGGAAACAAGCAGCTGCACCTAAAGTTCATAAAGTCTTGTCTTGTGTGGCTATTTTAAAATAGGAACAGGCGAAAAGTGACAGTTGCTAAGGAACAATGAGGTCAAGCCAAGACATCTGTTAGGGATGACAGTAATTCTGCATCTGGTGGTAAGGAAAGAGGAGAGAAGTGACAGTCAGACTAGGAAGAAGAAGAGCCTGAAATCAGAGGTACTTTCCAAAAAATTAATAAAGTTTCATTATCTAAATAAAAATTGGCCTGTGACTAGAAATACTTATTCTACTAGAAACACATATAGAATTAGCAAGATGAGAAACTTAAAAACAAACTGGTGAAGGACACTACCAGGTCACAGTAAACACTTCTTAGTAGGTGAGCTTCTTAAGTCCCCTCCAACCTGAATTATCCTATAAACCTAGGAATCTACGGTAGAACAAACAAGATCAGGAGAAAATCCTCAGACTACTGCGGACTGAGTCTCTGCTGGGAAATGATAGTGTAGCCATGGCTGCAGCTGCATCTGATTTCATGCTGTCTGTTCTCTTAGTTCAGCTGTCATTTTCTGCCCAAGTTTTTATTTCTAGACACATCGTCTCTAGCTGATGTCTTGGTTTGAGAGGGCTTATTTGCTCTTATGTGTTAATGCCCTTCCAGAGAAGGGCAACGAAGCTGGTGAGGGGTCTGGACAGTAAGTCTTATGAGGAGAGGCTGAGGGAGCTGGGGTTGTTCAGTTTGCAGAAGAAGAGGCTGAGGGGAGACCTTATGGTGCTCTATAGCTACCTGAAGGAGGGTTGTAGAGAGATGGGGGTTGGTCTCATCTCCCCAGTCACAGGAGATAGGATAAGGGGAAATGGCCTCAAGTTGTGCCAGGTGAGGTTTAGATTGGATATTAGGAAACATTTCTTCACCAAAAGGGTTATCAAGCATTGGAATATGCTGCCCAGGGAAGTGGTTGAGGCACCATACCTGGAGATGTTCAAAAGACATGGTCCTCAGGAATATGGTTTAGTAATTTTTATTTCCTATTTCTTATTTATGTTTTTGTCAGAGTTAGGTTGATGGTTGGACTAGATGATCTTTAAGGTCCCTTCCAACCTAGATGATTCTATGATTCTATGGAGCTATGTTTCTAGAGCTCAGCTGTTATCCCCAAAGTGCTAGACAACGTGGAAGCACATTTGAGCTGGGGTCAGTTCACAGATCTTTGTACTGCACTTCATTGCATGAACTAGTGGTGCTTGTTACCAGGCCCTGAATATCGGCCTTAGCCAGCAGGCTGGTGTGACTGCGGGTTTCTTATGTCGTCACTAGAGAGAGGCAGGGTCCTTCAGAAGGTGTTTCAGAATGTCTGCATTAGATTTCAGTGCTGAATTTCCCTGAAGCAGCCTAATTGTCTCTGGGTCTGTCTAATTCAGATGCATTTTCAACATTGTCTCCTCTTGCAGAGCTTTAGTTCAGATCGTGGAATGGTCGTGACCTGCATGAACCGGACTCCTTCCAGAGGGAATCTAACTCAAAGATGCTCTCTAGAAGAATATCTAAGTCATTGCAGCCTTCAGAACTTGCAGCTAGCCTAGAGATCGCCCTAAATAAACCCTTGTGAAACAGTTTAAACACAGAATTTGGGTCCTCAGTACTGATTGTTTCATCTACAGATCTACACCTATAGGGACACACTCCTTGCTAATGTACAGGAAACCTCTCATGTCTCAAGAAGAAGCCAAGAGGACTAAATGTATTTAGGCATAGCGGAAATAGCCTCCCAAAACACACTTTCTTGCAGGAATATCACCATGGGCACAAAGAAACTCTTAAGATGACACAACCCCCACCTCCCATAAGAATAGTCAGTCATTTTGATAATTTATGCAGTATGGCCTTCTGGAAAAGAACATTGACAATAATGTAAAAGAAACACTAAATAGGAAGTTAAGTTTAATGGAGCAGTAACAACTGAAGGTGAATTTAGACACTGACATGTCAAATACCTCAGTGCAAGACTGGGTAAGACTTAGAAAAACAACATTTCTGGATTGAAAGGTTTTCATTTGCAATGTTAATTTCAAGTACTAGAAGTGCAGAACTTAAAAGGAGAAGCTACTCTTCCCATCATCCCAAAGAACTTGTAGTAGTAGTAGCTATTAAGCAACAGAAACCGCAGTGTCCAGCATCAATGGGAAGAGATAATACTAAAACCTGACACCATGTGGTTAAAGCTGAGAGAAGGGGATTTCAAAAAGCAGCAAACCCAGGAAGCTACTCAAAAAAGACCCAAGGGTCAAAAGTGATACAACAACTCAGAGTGGAAGCTGTGTAAATCTCATCTAGCAGAGTCATAGAAAGGACGCCGAGTCCCAAACAAAAAACAAAGAATGAATGCAATAAACAAATGAAGTATTTTACTGATCAATGTCACCTGATCTATTCTTTGCAAAATAGGTATCCACTCAAGTAAAGTTAATCAAAGGGAGCACAAAACTATCTATAAATATGCACACTGGAAGTGACAAAAGCTAAGACTTAATTTGAAAAATAAAGAAAGGCAGAAAATCAGGTGCAAAATATTAATGTATGTGAAAAACCTTCAAGAAAACCACTGCTTGTTTGACCACATGAAATAAGTTAATATAGTGGCTAAAGATGTTACTGATATCTAGATTTACTTGTCTGCATCAGATTTTCATCCCAGGTGATTTGGAACAAAGCGCATCTCTGGTTTGTTTTTCCAGGTAGTAAACAAGAGGACCAAATAAGTTGATAACAGATTTATCTTACCTTATGAGATTTAGCAGATCAGAATTGAACGCTAGCAGTTGTATTCTAATTATTATTAAATGTTAACTTATTTTTTCATGTTAAGTAAAAAAAATAGGAAAAAGAGAAAGCATCATTTGCTGAGATTTTTTAAAGTAATATAATGTACATATCAAGACACGCTCTTTCTACACACCTTTCCCTGCTTTTGGCTGGCCAGCAGCAGCGTGCATGACTTGGCTTTCTGGAGTATTCTGCAGCGTATGGTAGACAGTCTCATCTCCGTAAAAATCCGATGCACTGCTCTTCAAGAATTAAGACAATGAAGAGTTATTAATAGAGTGCATTCTCTGAGGAAAAAGAATCTTGTAGTAATTAATTGCCTGAAGACTTCAAAATGCAACCTTTCATCATCTGACCCATGAAAGACTTTTTCAGCCACAAAGGCATGCAGTGTACTGTACCAGTGACAAGCAGCATCAATTTATGGCCAGTGGGAAGGACTGCCCATCAGGGGAGAAATTAAGAGGGAAAACAGAGTAATTGCTTCACTCTAGACCTTCAACCTTTCTGCTGGAAGCAGAGGAGGAACAGTGGACTCTATTTCCAGAGTCAGTAAAATACAAGGGCCATGTGGGCCCTACAGATTCTGTAGTTCCTGTGTCACATTGCTAATCTGCAGGTTGAAAATGGACTTTTGTGGAATCCATTTACCTGAAATTATCTCCCCTGCAATATTTATTTTCAACCACTCCTGAAGACCACACTCCCAGTGTTTTTAAGAATGAATATGTACTCCGCAGGCTGAAGCTGAGGTCACAGTCTAGATAATGCTGATCTTCCCAGCGCTCTCAAAGCAAATTGCTGGAGAAGAAATCAAAAGCTTTCTCACAGTGGCAGAAACTGTGCGGAGGCTGGAAGTCATTCTCTGCCTGTTCCCGGGTAACAGAAGCCTTTTCCCCTGCTCTGCTAAGTAGGTGTGTTTGTTAGTTATCATGTTACATGATGAGCTGCAGAGGAGTACAGGAGGCAAAAAGCTAAGATGAATCCTAGAAAAAGATGATTAAACATGTTTTGCAAATATTTCCCAAAGCAGTTTCATCAGAATCATGCCTGGACGGTCTGAATTTCTGTTAGTGGCAGCATAATGATTTGACTTAAAAATCACAGAAAATGGGCAGCCAGTTTTCCATTTACGTCTGACTCCCTCTATTTAGCAATCTATTCACTTACAACTACACTTCTCCAGCTATACCCTTGGTCCTCTGTAGATGGTGCTGCAGAGTAGCTGGGACTTGCTCGGAAGTGGTGGTGATGGTTGATCACAGCCAGGCAATTTTTATAACCTGAGAATTAGGAGAATGGAGGAAAAACTGAGTGAGTAAAAGGGAGAGAAGAAGGAAAAAAAAGCACAGCAGCAAACAGCCTAACATGCTGCTGTGTCTGTCAAAAAGCATTTATCCTATGGCTGCCTTACAGACAATAAAGTCTCTAGAGCCACGATATTTCATATCAGTAGGTTATCCAACATCATCTGTGCTGTTACTGCTAATCACACCCTTAGGCTGGTGTTTTTTGCCTTCATGATGAAAAGCAGTATTTGTTAAGATAATATGCCTGATATTTCATAGTGTCATGAAAACAGTTTGGTTAATAGAAAAAGGAGCGCCAAATAGACCACCAAACAAAATGGATGGGGTAATTACAGACTACCATAATGTACTCATTAGAAAGGAAAAGGCAATGTTCTTCAGGCCGTTAGTACAATGAGAGTCAGAGTTCCCAGTTGTGAAGGAGCATGAGAGCATCCACAGTTTCTGAAAAGATACAGAAGGAAGGAACACAAGACCTTATGATATTTAAAAGCAGCAGAGGAGAACACTGGACCGAGGCACTTGGAATGAACTACGCACTGCAGGTGGTCGGAAGAAGATTTTTGAGGGTACATCTATCGCAAGCAGAAATGTGGGCGCAGCTGTGGGACACACTAAACACTGAGTTGCAAGTGTTTCAAACTCTCTCCCTTGGCCCTAACAACAGGAACAGCCCAGAACATTGCAAGAAATTATATATAATGGGTCTTTCAGCATATGTACATTACCAATACAGTGGAGCCAAAATTTTATTAACAGCTGAAGATATGGCCCAATTGGTCTTATTTACATTTCAGTATATACTAGATAATATGTAAATAAACTTCCTCTTATGAAATGCATTCCACACAGAAGACAGTAGATATTTTGTTCTGGAATAAGAGGGTTTGTGATGTATCCTCCTATTTTCCTTTCCTACCATTTCAATTTAAAATGTAAAAACACACAAAAAACCAAATTTTAAATTTTATAGTAATTTAATTGCTGAAACGTTGCCTGAACTGGGACAGTTTACAGTTTGCCTGTATTTTAAGTTTTGTACAGTAGAAAACTCTTGAAGCCAAAAAAATCCCCCTTTCTAATAATTATCCAGACTTAAACTATCATTTATGCATCAAAATATTTAAAATTTATCTTTTAATGTTAAAAAAAAAGTAATTATGGAAATTAATTTTGGATATGGATTGGATTCTAAAATTTATCTTTTAATGTTAAAAAAAAAAGTAATTATGGATTTGGATCGGATATTTTGGATATATTTTGGATATGGATCGGATTCATGGTCTTTTTTTTTTCTTTTTTTTTTTTTCACTGGAATTCACTGTTACATGATTTTATTCACTGCATAACAGCAGGACATTTTTCATTTAAAACATTAAATATGGAAAATGGCTGTGGCGCTATGGTCATATATCATCTGATTACAGGAAACCTGAGCTCAATGCAGGGGGAAGCTAGAGGGGGACTGTCCAACAGTTTCCATCCAGCATCCACAGGAGGTGCACGCCACACTGGGCAGTGCTAATGCAGGGGTGGAAACCAGCCAAATATTCTTCCCCCTTTCCATCCTCCCAATGTACCCCTCTGCTGCCCATTAAACCACCTCTGGGAAATTACCCTCCCACCTACGTGCTTCAAGATGTACTTTCCTGTAAAAATACAAAGTGGTGAATGAAGTGGAAAAATGGGCTTTTTTACCTGGAGGATAGGGCATTTCTCTGTCGGAGTGCTGCTGCAGTACTTCTAGAGCATCTTCAAAAGCCTGGCCCAGCACGTCTTGGTCAGGAAAACTCTGCAAGAACATTTTTCCGTCAGGAGCCAGAAAAGACCAGACTGGTTCTTTCCACCTTGTCAGTTGGAAAATCCCAAACAAATACAGTGGTTATGTAGAATATACATCCTCCTGGAATATGTATTTTGCAGGCACCGAGGCATTACCATAATCATTTACTATTATGAGAAAGTTCTCACTCCTTTGAGAAGTCTCTTTGAGGTCAGTGGGACAACTCACATGGGTAACGTTACTCACTTTTGCAAATGTTTCAAGGTTCATTTCCTTAATTTGCAGCAGAAGTTTACATAAAGGGTGTTACTGCTATTGAAGTGTTTTATAGTATGTAATACAGACATATGTATCACTTGTGTAGCAGGATTTATGAAGCCAAAGTTATCATTCAATAACATTGACATGACAAAAAATATTATGCACAAGTTATGAAGTAGTTATGCAAAATGCTACACTAAGCCAGTATAGGAAACCATGTGTGTGGATTTCCAGAAAAATGCTTATTGTCATTTTAGAATAACTTGTTCGAAAAGGCTGAAAACATCCCCCTGAATCTGAGTTTGCCTAATAGTTTTCTGTAATATATTTGAAACGCTCATAATGAAAGAGAATAAAGGCATTCTAGACTTACCATTATTTAGATATCAAAACTTGAATCCTGTTTAAAATAAACAACATTTTAAAATTGTGTATTTAAAAGTAAACACTAATTCTCTCAGTATAAATACAATTAATGAAATTAAATAGCTCTATGTTATTTCCAGTTATGGAATAAAATATATTTAATAACACAGATAAAAGTAATTTAGGATCAGAAAGTGGCATTTTAATGAAATTAAACAATTGTAACACTGTATTTGGAGGTTTTGTATTTCATACTACTTTTTGTTACTAAAGTTTCAAGTTTCATTAAGACTGTAACTTTTAGATTAATATCCACATCATTGTAAACACATTTTTTAAAGACATTATGAAGTGAAAATGTGTTATTGCTGCCAGTCTTAGTTAGCACAACTACTAATTTCCCAAAGAAAATATTGACCTGAACAAATGCAAGTGTTTAAGTCCTTTTGGTTTCCAGAAACGGTCAAAATAAACTTAGGGTTTTTTCCATATCGAAGACTAGCATATGGCTGTATATGAATATATATAAATTCTCAGACTAATTGTGAGTAAATAATTCTTTAGTATTTCTTTTTCATTTGTTACAGATTATAATGAACAGGTTTTTGTTGTCTTGCAGGGTTTTTTTCCTCCATTCTCATTTACACTATTATTTCAAAAGTGTAATAATGGTAATAGTAATAGTAATAGAAATAATAAAAGTGCATTCACAAGTATTTTACTCATTAAAGGTTTGACTGTAATCTACTGAAAATACTGGAATTTTTTCAATGAGTTCAGCAGTTGCAAAATCGGTATCTGTGTGATGTTTTAAAATGCAAATAAAAGATAAGATACATAAACAAGCATAAACGTAAACAAGAAATAATTTTATCCAAGACTCACCATGAATATTCTAACCTGGTAATTATGACTCAATTAAGTAATTTATAAGTGTGTTCTAAATTACTGTCAAATTTTGTAGATTTTTAAAAAAATCTTGATGAACAAGAGTGTATGGTGAAATCCTGGTGATTTAGTAAATTAACCACATTGAACTCAACAGGATTTTTCTCTTTGACTTCAGTTCAGGAAGTAGTTTCATAAACTGATCTAATTTTATTCTAAAACTAGAATGGGCCTTATTAATCCTTTAGCTGCAATGGTGATCATGGGGTATAGAGCCATAGAAATTAAAGACACGAATCTCCTTTGTAAAGATCCTCACATAGTGTTCCCCTAATTTGAAGTAATTCACTTTCCTTAAATTGTTTTTGTCCAACTCAAACTCCAAACTGATACTTGGTAATCTTGACAGAACATCTGCAGTTACTGCTGATGCCTTTCAAAGACCAAAAATGTAGAAGGTACTGTTGAATGCTCATACCATTTACACAGCTGAATTCATACCAAAAAAGAAAAAGTCACACCTTCAGTAAGTTTTTAAAAAAAGTCTGGACACTTACCTAGAATTTCAGCTCCACACACGACACAAGAATCTGTCTGGTTTCATAAATAAATGAGTGAGTTCCCACAGCAATGGGCTGGCAAAGGAGCTGCATTAAATAGCTGATTTTAGGGAAGTGTTTTGGCTAGGGATTTTTTTGAGAGTAAAGGTATAGTACACTGCAAGCATGGCCCTTCATTCTGCACTGAGGAAGGGTGTTTTATACTGATATAAAAGAAAATTAAATGTTTTAAGTATTGTCCAAGAGGTGCAGATTCTAGGCACTGGGAGAGATTCTTTTTGGCTATGGCACATCCTAACAAATGTGTCACTGGAATGGTACGTCTAGGGCTCAAACCTGCATCCCTCATCTGTCCCAGATACACTGCAGTGGACCTTGAGGTTTTATCTGAACCTCCTGTTTAGCTCAGTGTAAGAAGCAAAACAAACTAGACCCCAAAATAAGAGTTTCAGGGAATTTCAGAACTCTGCTTCAAAGCTCATGTTTGTAGCCCAGGCCCAGCTTTAAAACATTTACTAAAGCATCCAGGACAGATTCAGACAAGGTGTAGCTCCTGATTTGCCACATGTTTTCTGAGCAGCTACAAGCCATGATGTTGCATCCTAGAGGATGTTTTTCAGTTGAAAACTTCTTGTTGCTGACATAATCTTTCCTGAGCCATAGCTCTTTGCATCCAAGTCTTTTAGAGGCACATTTGACAAAATCTCCTCAGCATTTACCATGAAACTTCTGTAAAATAGTAATCATCTCTTACAATTTATCTATACTCCCTCAACCAATGACCAGACTCATGAATTAGAACTATGAATGCCGAGTGGAAGTGATTTGAAGCCAACATTACCATCAACTATTATCTGCTGGTTTCAGATGGAAGGTGCTGTTTCCAAATTTGCACCACAAAGTTTCGGAATATATATTTTTTCTAGTGAAATACATGAATACAGAATGTGTTTATTTTAACTACAGGTTCCATTTTGTACCACTTCTCTGGTGTGACTTGGGATTATAAAGGAAAATTGATCAACAACTGTGCTCTTAAAACATCAAAATGTGACTCGGCACAGAATTTCAGGCCAAAATACGGTTACACGATTGACTTCCTTTCCACATACAGTTAACTTTACTTTGCAACATGGAAAAGCAGTTTTCATGGTTCAGTTCTTTCTGGAAGTAGAAGTATGTATCGTACTTAAAACTATGAATAATTTTCAAGATCCCTCCTAAGTTCCTGCCAATAAATGATAAATGATGCTAATAGGCTCTCTGGTGATGCAATCTGACCTGTCCACTGCCACATCCCTCCCTGAAGCTGGGCAGTTACTGTCCTGCCCTCCTGTGCTCCTCACTTTTCCTGGCCATGTAACTGCAGGGGTGGCCCCTGTGGAGGAGATTAGGGCTGTCCTGTGCTGGTCACAGCTAATTCCAGCTGGCTCTGTAACAATCCTGTCACGTGCCAAAGCAGAGCCCATCAGCTACGTGTGTGGCGCCTCTGTGAAGCAGTTTTCATGGTTCAGTTCTTTCTGGAAGTAGAAGTATGTATCGTACTTAAAACTATGAATAATTTTCAAGATCCCTCCTAAGTTCCTGCCAATAAATGATAAATGATGCTAATAGGCTCTCTGGTGATGCAATCTGACCTGTCCACTGCCACATCCCTCCCTGAAGCTGGGCAGTTACTGTCCTGCCCTCCTGTGCTCCTCACTTTTCCTGGCCATGTAACTGCAGGGGTGGCCCCTGTGGAGGAGATTAGGGCTGTCCTGTGCTGGTCACAGCTAATTCCAGCTGGCTCTGTAACAATCCTGTCACGTGCCAAAGCAGAGCCCATCAGCTACGTGTGTGAAAACGCCTCTGTGGAAACATACTGGGGAAAGGGCAGAAAATGCCAAAGGTGAGGAGACAAACCTGTGAGGGAACACCAGAGGGGACAAGGAGAGAAAGAAGGGAATGAAGGGACAACATAGTCAGAGTGTGATGTGTTCCATGACCAAGCAGGCACACCCCAAAAGGGACTGTGGCCCATGGAAGAGCCCACACTGGAGCAGAGGAAACTGGTAAGAAGGAAAAGCAGCAGAAGAAAAGGGTGAAAAACAAGGAGAGGCAGAGACAAACCACTGCGTCCTGACCTCAGTCCCCAGTGCCACCCATCGCCTCACTGAAGGGACTGAGTGTAACCTGGGGAGATAACAAGAGGGAGGAGATGTGTCTGGAGTGAAGTTGAGCCTGGGAAAGGGGAAGGAAAGATGTTTCAATGTTTGTCTTCTTTGCTTCCCAATATCCAAATTGGCAACTGAATATATAACAGCAATAAATTAAGTTAGATTCTCAGAGTGAGCAGCTGTGTGGGTGTGTGGCTGCTGGCTGGGACCAACACACCCCAGTAGTAAAAGAGGGTGAAGGTTGAGAGATTAAAGCTAATGGTTTTAACACCATTAAAACAATCAATCTTCCTAAATCAAACTGCTTGATGAGAATGTTCTCATTTCAAATAAGGGGCTACACCATAAGGGAGGCCTAGCAAAAGGATTGTTTTCAGAGGAAATGGGAAGGTGCCATGCATAGCACAAACACACCACATAAAAACAAGAGCAGATGCTGTCTCAACAGGGTAGATTTAAACTCCAAAACCCATTTGGACCTTGCATCTTTGGCCCATCACAAGCTCAAAGCAAGGGCTCAGGCTACCTCCAAGGGCCACCTCCAAGAGTCTGAAAGAGGCAGAGTAAGGCATAGCTCAGGACTGAGTGTCAGCAAACACCAAGTGCTCACTCCTCAACAAATCACAGTACAGTCAAGGCAAGCAGCACGTTGGCCTCTACCAAAAAATGTTACTACAGAAGAAAGCTTGCTTTGATCTTTGCATTGCATGGGAAGATGGATTCCAGAGACAAGCCTGAGAGTTTCACTGAATTTCACTGAATTTTTAGAGTTGGAAGGGACCATAGAGAT